GCTAAAAAGACCGCTCGAAGTGCTACCAGGTGTATGAGGGCGCTGTTCATAACAGTCCCTCAAACACGACACACACGCTTATGCTACGAGGAAGCGATACCCGATGTGGAGGGGGAAGGACAGTCCCGACTTGGAGAAAACTAGAACGACTCGATACTTAAAGGTTTACTTGCTACTAAACTAAAAATGGTTCATAGCTACGTGCAAAACACCCCAAGTGCCTCCAGAGATTTAAACTAATAAAACCCTGGGTTCCTGATGTATAAATCAAGGGTGTCCCGAGGTTGAATCTAATCTTCAACCGATAGAAGATCTTGGGTGTACGGGACTTGAACTTTCTCTATCCGCTTCTTTTCTCTTCTGTAGAGACACGTCAGTCTCGTCACCATTACAGATGCCCAAGTAGGAATAAGCAGTTGTCTTACACAGAATGTATGCGACTTCAAATAAGAAATCACATATGTATTGGGAGCACCATACTGTAATCTTCTTTTATTAATTCCACAATACGTACGGAAGGTGCATAAATGTATCTTTATATTATGGCAAAGTGTGGCCCGTTACATTGATGGAATGATTGGCAGCGCCGTGTTTAGCGGTATGATTAATCTATGCGTCCCCCTTACGCCGCTTGGTAGGGGCGAATAGCCGAACGGCTAGCTGATGTCAGCCCCTCACTGTCTTTACAGAAGTCGATGACTTCTTGTCTACCAGACTGAGTGTCCTACAGCACGTTCGCGATGCGATGACTGAAAGCCAAAACATGCAGAAGAAATATGCAGACGGAAGAAGTAGAGGAAATATTGATAACATTGAGGTCGGAAACCTGGTCTTATTAAATGCCAAAAACCTTTCTACACATGCAGTCTCTGTTGTCTTTGAGCCAACGCTCCGTCCACGGTTGACTGAATCTTTTAAGTTCGTGGCCAAGCGAACCTTCCGAGAAGGATGCGCACCCACCCGGTGTTTTATTTGGGATTGCTTCATCCGTACCGGGATGTGGCGCAACAAACCGCGGAAGCGTTGGCGCCGGCCATCCAGAAGCTAAACCAGCAACCGGTTTCGAGCACATAGTGCAACAATTTTCGTCTCAAACGGCGCCAGGCGCTCCACCGTCGCACGAACTGACATTTCGTCTGCTCGACCGCTCAGACAGAGCGTGAATTCTCAACGTGCGGCAGTCGGTGCACAAAGTGCTCCGAGCTCTTGAGATCTTCTGCACAGCGGAATGCGACCTCGGCAAGATTTTTGGCAGAGTGCCGATGACGACGGACTATGTTCTCCAAAGGTCGAATAGCATTGTGACCGGACGGCGATCGACCAAATCGTCATCGTCCGCCGCCGACACTTCGCGACGAGAATGGTGGTGCTCACTATCACGTATATTGTGGCTCGACGTCGTCGCCAAGGTCAACCTCAGTATATTGAGAAGTTGTGGGGATACCACGACTGGGAGGTTGAAGTGCTACTTTGGCAAGACTAGTCAGACGTCGTAGAGATCTATGATCAAAGGAATCATGACGCTCCGCGCTTCTCGGTAGTAGCCAGGGAAGCCGAAGGGCCCTGAGCTGAGATCATGCTATGGCCCTGAGCTGCTGTGGTCGTAGACTCACCCGTCTGAGACACCACAGAGCTCAAGGGAGCGTGATGGATTATTCCACATGTCGCAGGGAGACAATACGCAGGAAGGCGGCGTTCCACCTTGAGGTTGGCAAACTCAAATCGAAGATGGCGTTCTACGCGCACGTCCACTTCGTCGCGGCTCTGCTATAAGTGAGACAGCAAAGAAATTGTTTGGTGCCGCTGCACCGATCGCTCAAAGAGCTCTTCACCACCTGCATCGGTTTTGCAAGGGGCGAGCACCACAAGAATAGTCCGCATTGCGGGTACAGAAATTTGCACAATGTTATCGGGCCGAACCGTCGCCGCATGCATCGGCATGTTTAGCAAGCATACCAGTTCCATAAGATTGTGACTAGCTTATTTATCAAACTTGACTTTCGATTTTCTGAAATGGCGCTCGGTCATGCTGGTATTGTAATCTTTGTTAATTTCCAAGATGACTCATCTTAGTGCTGCCAGCGATGAAGATACAGCAAAGCTACCACTCGACAAAGCGTTTCGTCATCATTGATGTGCCGGTGGTCATTGCTTCAAATCGAATTCCTCCCTAATCAGCGACGTTTATAGGACGCTTCAAATACACTCGTCATCAGTTAGGACATCTCCAGCACTGAAGGGCCACAGTCTGATAGTCAGACAGAATTGTTTATCGCGTAGTATCGATCTTCTTCGAAGCAATTACGCTGCGAAACTGTCTCTGGAACAAAACGCTTTTGCTAGTTGAGTTTGCGCTATTGTTGTACATGCCACTACAGGCTATACCCCATTCAATTTTAATGATCTGGTTGATTCCTGTATTTTTTCGATACCACCGTAGATTGGATCCGGTCTTGGTGTGGTGCTGTCGTTTCGATCTGATTTGCTGAATTCAGCTCAGCTAGCCTTTATAGCAGAATCGTAACATCAAATTCAATAAAGTCTAGCGTACGCAACGCTATGACCAATGGCTAGGGGTCGTAGACGCAATATGTAAATGACAGATGAAGACGGAACTAGCATTATTGTAAACTGTGGATGAAATGTCATTTAAAAAAGGAAAATAATGCGGCTAACGACAAGAGACATAATTGCGATCGCGCTGCATCAGACCGTTTACGACCAGGTGTGTCAGAAAGGGAATCGGCTGCACGCTTACTATGACTTTTGTGTGGGCTCCAGCGAGCCATTCCAAAAAGAAGAGAGCTCTACGGAGACTGAGAAAATACTCAAAAATCTGCTGTAACCTAGAGATTCCTTCTATTCTAGAACAACGATACGGCTCTGATATGCATTAAATAAGTCACTCCACTCTGTACGATGGTGTAACAAGGAGAGCGCATCTGATATGTGGCTCATCTTTTCATCATGACCTGGGCAGAGCTGCCGTATCTCTTTGCTTAGAGAAAGCTAAGCTAAGGTCACCGACCTTACGTTCTTTGCGATAGCATAATTATCTGATCATGACCCTGAACGATCTGTAACAACGTATTCTCATACACTATGAGCCCGAAGATACTGCATATGTCGGCAGGCTAACATATCTGAATCCGTATAATCACTAAATATTCACGCCTGTCTTTGGAATCTGCATGTTAGTTATGTCCATCCTGGTTCTCAGATGCAGCTTCGCGCACTCAGCGCATGGCGCTCGAGCTCATAATTGAGATGAAATCATCGATTTCGGTGCTAAGTTTAGCGAGATGAATTGTATAGACTTTCGTGTTGCTCACCAATACCAGTGCCACCTCGTGACGCAGTCAAAAAAATGCGAGACAGGCCTAGCTTATTTTGTATAAGGCAAAAAGAGGTTGTAGGACATGCATTTACTTATTCAACTTAATCGTTCTGAGTGAAATTACACGCTCCAGCACCGCGGCCTCTACGCCCAATTCCTTCTGGAGATATCCGCCACCACGCGTTCAGTATGACCATCTATCTGTGTGTGACATGGCCTAGCACCTTGAACAAACAGTGTTCGTATAAACTTCATGAAAAGCACGGGCCACAGTCTGGCACAATAATCACTAGCAAGCCATATTGGTGCAGTTTGCTTGGCTGTTTCGTCACCGGCTGAGATTTCGCTTACAGCGGCGAGATGAGTCATCTTGCTTTGACAGTGCACAAAGACCACAACGACGGTATTACTCTGTCGTCTTTTGGAAGACCGAGAAAAAGGTCATACTTATTACTTGCCAGCACTCGGCCGAGGCCGGTAGACTGGCCAAAGGCGTCAACGCATGCGGAAAAGTTTAACTGCTGACAAAATGCATGGGTTTAAACATACGTGCTAAGCTCGTATATGTGTCAAATCGCCGCTCTGTAGAGCCAACAGCGCAAATTTTAATCTCACTTTGGAGGAGGCTGCCAAATGGGATCGTGCATCAATCTGTATTTAAAATGTTTATCATCACACCTTTTGGTGTTGAATGGATCAGTGCTGTAAAACAGCAGAATCTGGAATTCAAAGTCACGGTACAAATGTACAAAAATACGCTTGAAATTAATAACATCTAAGCTCAAATTCTATGCTTCTCAAAGATTTGATCAACACAGCGCACATTGCATTCGATCCAGAAACGAAACGTTTCTCTTCATCAATGCACGATGTCACTATCGTGACAAGCGACAGATCATATTTGGGGTAACGCAATAGCGCATCCGACACAATATCAAACCGGTCCGGATTCAACCTGACCTCGAAGATAAACTCGCGAATGAAGGATTACTATACTGTATTATCTGTGAGATATGTGGCAACGGTGACGCTGTGCACAAGAAAGCAAGAGCTTTTTTAGTCAGAAATTGCTTAGAGCCAAGCTGGTTAACCTTAAGCAAGACAAAGGCCCCCTTTATCGAAAGTAGTCCCTTGTCGGAGATCAAGGTGGCTTTCCTCTGTCGCCTGCTGCTGGCGAGACGCAAACACAATCACTCTTTACCAAAAGTCACGTCCCCCAACCGATCTTTTGATCTTTTGATCTTTTGATCTTTGATCATAAGATTATAGGTGCTATACCATAACTTTTCTTCATCTTCTGTATCCATAACTTTTTCTTCCTATAGTTGATACTACATAGTGTATGTTATTAGCAAGGTACAAGGTAAAGACAAACTTCCAACTGAGCTTAGCTTTATTTGGCTTTAACTATCTATTACAGTGTTTACAATGATACACCGCTGTGTAAAGCATGTCTGTACATGCATCCATGACTCTCATCCTTACCAAGTACTCATCCTTACCAAGTACTAATCATAATAATATATCATAGAACATTTATTTACTTTGGTACTTCTCAGCGTCCCATAAGTCCGAAGGACGCCCTTGTAGTACGGAGCTCAAGTTACAACCGACACAACTGTTAAAAAACGTTCACCTCTAAACACTTAAACAATTTTCGTTGATGTGGCGCTCGTTGCAACGCTCTCCACTTCCAGCGGCGGCGTTAACCGCTGGCCTCTTCTCCATCGTAAAATCTTCGCTTAATGAGCCTGTTCAATCAACAAATGTTATACCGCTCGAAATTCCCGCTGCTTTATCGTCACCAAGTGCGCCTTCACCCGGGGGCGATAAGCTCCGATTATCGCGTCGCTTTACCCGCCGCAAACAAACCAAACATCACAGATATGTGATTGTGGGATCTGGCACGGCCGCCAATGCTGCTATCGAGGCTATTCGACAGGAAGATGCTTGTGCCGATATTCTCGTGCTCAGTGATGAGAATGCGCTGCCTCGTCTTGACTTTGGCGTCCAGCAACCGCGGGGCGACGAGGATGATAGTGATGGGGACGACGGGCCGTCACTGGCTCCTGCTCTTTTAATTAGCTACAACGAATGGCGTCGTCATTTAAGTGCACGCTTTGAAGAAGACGTGGTCTCGTCCACAGGGCCACCGCCACTTACATTATTGCTCGACAAGAGGCCACTTGAGTTCGACGTCGAAAAAAATCGCGTGTTGCTAGGAGACGGCACTGAAGTGCGATATGAGCGCTGCCTCGTGGCATCGGCTGGTCGGCCTCGTCACTTTTATGTGTTGGACAGCGATCGCGTATCATACGCGCTCAAAGACCGCGTCAACACGTGCACGACGCATGCAGACTTTGTGCGACTGGATCAGCTGGCCGCAGGGGCATCCGATGAAGGAGGTGGTGCGGCACAGAGCGTTCTGGTAATCGGTGCTGGTTTTTTGGGCTGTGAAGTGGCCTGTGCGCTGGCTACGGACCCGCGGAACAACCACCTAAAAATCAAATTGGTGTTCGTAGAGCAGTTACCTGCTGCCAGAACGCTACCTCCTTATCTGGCAGAGGAGCTGGCGCGACGACTCAGCCATGCAGGAGTTGACGTCGTATCTAACCGATTAGTCACAAGTTTGCGCCCAAGCCTGGATGATGACGACAATGAGAGCGACAGAGGCGTGACTGTAGGCGTACTAGGCAAGGACAAGCCCGAGGTAGCACTAGATGCCGACTATGTCGTGCTGGCATCCACCCATACGGATCCAGCTACGACGCTTCGCATGGGACGCGCAACTCGGACTGGGGGTGGCCTAGAGCGGGATGAAAAAAATGGCGGACTAGTTGTTAATGCGCAGCTAGAAGCTGTTTCTGGTTTGTTTGTTGCTGGAAACGCTGCCAGTTATTATGACCCGTATTTGGGAAGACGGCGCGTGGATCGTTACGATCACGCAGTCAACAGCGGACTCACAGCTGGTCGCAATATGGTCAGATCGCTTCGTGGTGCAGGAAAGATGAAGACATACAGACATCAGCCTTTGTTCCGTAGTCACCTACCGGGTATTGGCGTACTAATGGAAGGTATCGGTGAGGTGAATTCGTCATCACGCACTGTAGGTGTCTGGGTGCAGCCACCTAACCTCAACTCCAGCCCGAACGGCAGTCAAGGGACGCCGTACGAGCGTGGTGTGGTTTATTTCCTTAAAGGTAACAAGATTATGGGCATTGTGCTGTGGAATGCCTCGGATGTGCTTGAGAGTGCGCGTCAATTAATGCTCTCGCGGCCAGAAATTCGCGACAATGTGGAGGAGGAACTCAAACACGCAATTTCGCTCGCGCCAAATGACTGGCTGCATGTCGTATCTACGTAGTCATTTTACCAATTGGTGTGCAGATCTGTACGAAAGAAGTTAGGAAGGTGATAAAAGGTTCTGCATCCGCTAAAATGGGGCTATTTACCTTTACCGACTCTTCCGTCTTGCACTAAATTCACTTAAAGCACCGTGTTGTAGTGTTGAGAATACTTGAAGAAGAAACGACGAGCGTTTGCGTCGATGAAAGCACTTCGACGTCAAATGCTTTGCCTATGAGCACAGCAAATGATGATGGTACGAGCAATATGGTCCCGACTCGCACACGACATTCGGAAGGATTAGTTTCTATCTGATGAACTTACTGATGGATGTTATTGACGGCAACAAAGATGAATACAACTCTCGCAGTGATCGCGACAAGTCGAGTACTGGAGCGTCAGAGCAGAATCAAAATTATCTAAGCTGATTAATTTGAGTTGACATGAAGCAAAACATTTTGACCGCGTGTGTCGTAACTTCAATGCCGACTTTCTTTGTGCGTGGAACATCAAGTCGCACTCCTGCATGAGAGTTACCGTGGAGATTGTGCTATCCACGCAGCTGTGTAATCACAGTGTATTTTGGCCGTACTTTATGGCGCTGCCTTTGCTTCACACAATGCGAAAAACATGTATCCATAGAAGTCTTTGTTATTCACAAGCAATGTCAATTGTTTTAAAAGGTGAACAGGAAGTCAGACCCACGGGTAGTTTATCGTGGCTGACGCCGTCGTCGCAATGTGATTAATCACTAAAGGATATGAAGACCGAAAAATGTAGATGTAGTTGTGACTGGGTTAATAAGTGTTGAGATAAAGACAGCGACCAAGTTTCTATCGTAATCAAGTCAGAGAAAGATGCCATTGAGACTCTACACAGAAATAGGGTTGCTTACTACCTTTGAGAATACAGCTGAACCCAGTCGGCCACCATTCAGAACTGCTGACGAAGTCAAGAAAAGATTTTACTGATGAACATCTATGGACAAGGAAAAAAGAAGCAAAAAGCACTCGAAGCGGTCAATCACAATGGGAGAATTCGAGGCAATGCGGGATCTTGTCAGTGCGACATTAGTGCGTTTATCCCTCCAGATTTTATGTACGTTTTGGTGAATGTTGCTAGCGCTTGCTTCTGCAGTTACTCGCGGAAAGCGTTGACAGGTTGAGTCACAACAATCATGCTGAAGGTGTCAACATAGGTGTCAACATATAGCCAGGGAACCACTGAAACTTTTCAGCGAAGACCAAATAGTGACATCACCGACGATCGAAAATTCAAGAGAAGTAGACGTTAGAGAAGAAGAACTGCATGATTTGAAGAAATCTACGAGTAATTGGGCTGAAGCTGTACCTTGCCGGTCTTTAAGGCAGAAACGCGCTTAAGCATTTTTCTGTTCTGCTTTTACGCCGCTTAGGTGGACTACAGTTTATTAACAAGAGGCAGTTTTGCGAGACATTAATGCTATATCAGGTAAAGTCCCGCTTTCAAAACTTCACGAGGCCGACTCCAAAAACAATCGTTCGACACACATCGACGATCACGCGTCATCTAGACACAATCAAAATTGGCACATGTTACGATACCTTGTGCCGCTCTGATCATTTATGAACGCAAGGCTTGTGACGCTGATCTAAGACACTCGAGCAGCAATCAAGTAGATGTCTAGTGGCTGCATCGTCGATCCTTTTAGTATGAGCTTGATGGTGGGTGACAGCATGACTGACGTCGAGTTCATATCACAGTGATTACCCATTGAGACTTTTTACGGCTAATACAGAAATTTAGCATAACTACATCTCACGTCGGTCCTTTGTCATTGTGTTGTCAAAATCATTACACAATAATTTGTTTGAAAGTCAAAGGTGCTGCACGTTGTGCAAGCTGTGTATCCGTGACTGCATCCACTGCAACGCTTCTAAGTTAATGGGATTCAAAACGCCAAAAGTACTTAAATCTATAAAGTCGAGCAGCTAACTACTTGTTGCAAAAGTAGCTGAGACCACGCTGAGAAGACAAATTCTAGGAAACAACGTATTTTTGTTTCGGTTCGATCGAGTGTTTATTAAAAAGGTATTTGTTGATGCGAGTTAAACAACTATAAGGCAATAGGTGAAAGACAAATACGTTGTATTCATGTTCATGTTTGTTAATCTCAAAGTCGATTAGCCTTACTGGTTGTGCACGTTTTCTGCATTGGTTGTGGTAAAAATTATAGTGAGAGGAATCTTTCACTTTCACATAAGCAGCTTCAACTGAAACACGTGAAATACTTCACGAAGCTGATGGGGAATTACACAAGCGCGTATCATAATGTTTATAACAACAGACCATTCACCTTGTTATCAACGAAATTAGCTACGGTAAAATGCGTTCATCGCACCTACATTTCGGTAAAAGCGTCCGTAAAAGTTGGACGGATTACTTTTGATCTCAGTCAGCCATTGTCGTTGAAGTTATTGTCAGCAAAGGTGACAAGATTGCAAAAAGGGGCAGCGACCGCTTCTTTGCTCCGAATCCATGCCATCGAAACCTCGATCCAGCAAGATTGTCAATTTTTGCCTTACAATGTCTAGCTCCACCGAACATCTGTCCATGCACCGTTCAACATCGATGTCTATTTGTCGAAGAACATTATATTTATGAACAGCTCATGCATCATATGTATGACTTGAACTTAATCACATTAACGCTTCAGTCAAGCAGGGTTTTCACAATATCGATCCTCCGAGCCACTATATCATTCCAATATTGTTTCATCATCAAAGCCAGCATAGTCATTCCACTGTTCTTCTCGTTGCATTGTTAGGTTCAAGTCATCCAGCAAAGTGTACAACATTTCAAAAGATTGACTTCTCACTGTGACATCCGCCTCATCTTCGTCCTCTCTCTCGTGTATTGGGCCAGTTGAATCCTCATAATCGAATTTTGAGTAATCTGGTGATAAGTTTACAGATGCAGGCGCATCCATCTTAGTAGACAAATGTCGATACGGTTCAAACACGTTAAATGCGCGAGCACGATGGCGATGACCATGTCTGGGTGATGTCAGAGACCCATATTGGCCAGCTCGAATTTCCTGACGAATAATAGCGATCGGATTTTCTTTCAATGTTTGTGAAATGCAAGGCGTGCATAGTTTTACTACAACCGATTGAGTTTCTTTACTTCCAAAGTCTCTGGGAAAAAGGAGTTTATGAGCTCTGCTGCAACGATAACATATTTGAATTCCGCACATTTCACAACGTATGGGTGACGTGAAGACGTAACGTAGTGATTTGGTACATAGTGGACACAGTGACGGAGGTATTAAAGCATCTTCAAAAGACATAATTCGTTTGTGTCGTAGACGCCATGCGAGTTTCTTGCGCTTTGCACAGATATCCGCGTTCCAGAAGTACGTAAGTCCATTTGCAGTTGACAGCAGAGCGAGACTGTCTAGTACACGACCTTGAGCCGCTGCTCGTCCTGTCATAAAAACGTCTACTTCGTTTGTGTCATTTTCTCGTTGTCGAAGTAAGACACAGGACGACACTTTTGCTCGCACGAGGCCTAATTCTTTTCGTAGCTCTGGATACTGCGGCAGATCTACGGAATGAATAAGGAAGTAGCCAAGTTTTGAACCATCCCCACGGATCTTAATGCCAGTGTGTTCAACATAAACGATATCTCGCGGTAACACGACGGCGCTCATGAAAGCAGGATGAGCTTTGACTAGCCACTTTAATCCAAGAAATCTGAACGGGTGGGCTATAGTCGGACCTTTGAGCTCATTGAGCACTTGTGCATCCACCACTTCGTCATTCGACGTCGCAGCCTTGGCTATCATGTGAACAGCGGTAGGTGATTGAATACCGTAAATGATGTCTTCAAGTGTCCCTTTCAGACTGCCGACTGCTAGCAATTGGGGCAATGTCCAATTTACATCGCTCTGGGACCCGTCATTGTGGCATTGGCGATAGTTAGAGCGCTCGCAGAATAGATTTATGGACTTGCGTGTCTTGAGTGATTTCCACCGGCTCATGTCCACCACTGACTGGTTCTGCTGCACGTGCTCGTCCAGCTGACGTTCGGCCAACAAGAGCTGTTGATCTGCTAAAGCTTCCAGTGCTTCCTCTTCTTCGACAGACAGCAGCACAGGTGGAAAAGGTTCGTGTGACAGTGGAAACCTTGTCATTGAAGCTTTGTTATCAGCAGTGCTCGGGATTAAGCGATTTGATACGTTCTTCTTCAATCTACTTTGTCGTGTGCAGCAAGATGTCGATTCAAAAGTGGCATCTTGAGAAGTGTAAAACAGCTGGATTAACTTCGTTTGAAGCTCGCCTCTTCGTTATAGATTGAGAATATTATGCATCGTTGCTAGAAAACAATTCATGCAGGCCTTGCTTGCATGAAAACCATAACGTTTGTTTGACAAGATCAGACTATAATGAAGTGAATGCAAACTTTTAAACGCGCTTCAAGAGTAATGACCTCAGCACACAACAGACGTTAAATGTCAGTCATTCTTCTTTCCGAGGTGTAAGGGACTAGGAAAGTTGTAATTTGTTCCTGCTCTTTAAGCAAGGCATCAAAATTTGATTTGGGTCATTGCTGTACTTACTATACATTACTTACCGGTATCTAGATGGTATCCATGTTTTGGGTGTGACGGCTGTTGCGATCGTAATGTTATTGCGCCTGGAAGGGCCAGGTCCTGATGTGACTAAGTTTGGCTCATCCTTGTCACGGTGTGACGGTACAGCTGAGGCAGCAACACTTACTGACGTGTCCAGCGTTTAAAGCCTTAAAATGGTTATTTTGTGGTGAATATTGTTAACAATTAATTTATACCTCTGCAGGGTTTGGCTTAAGCTATTGATAAAAGACAAGTTGAGCTCAAGAAGGTTTTCAGCTGACCTATCTCTCAATTCAAAATCGTTGCAGATATTTCTTGTCATTCTGAAGCACACAAACTCTTGCTCGAATCATCCTTAACATGACTCATTTGGGTGTGAGCTTACTTGGAGATCATCGAAACCGCTTTATTTCGACAGAAATTTACGGCATTGTGTCTGCTACTATCCCATAACGCGGTATTTGCTAGCGGCAACGGAGCTGTCTACAACTTAACGCAAATGCTTTGACCATGAAGTGTGGTCCACTGTAACTGTAACGGGGTTACACGTACCCTTGTAAGAAAGGGCGGGTCGCACAAGATCGTACATAGATGTGTAATACACAGTAAGTATAATCACACAGTGGTTAGGCTACACCGAAGAAGAAGCACGTGGCAGCTTGCCGGTAGTTATGCATATTACTATATTAATTAGGTTCTGCTATATTAATTAAGTATTAGTGTATTAATTAGGAGAACCTAAGGTTTCTGGTATTAGCGGCTCTGCCGCAACTTAATCAATTAAATACAGTTCAGTTTTGAAGAGAAGGGTGGGTTTGCCTTGACTAAGGTTTTTTGTATATAGAATAGCGGGTTGCGATTCGCTACACTAGTACTGGTACTTGGAAAAAAACGTAAGGTCGGTGACCTTAGCTTAACTCCCTCTAAGCAAAGAGCTACGGCAGCCCCGCTGCGTCCACGAAGCTAGTGAAGCCTCAATAAAGCACATTGCCGCGAGCGTCTCCCATGTTACTGGAAGACTCATAAGTCCCTGGCGTACTATTACAGCGTCATCGATGCGCCTGCTTCTGTCTCCCGGCGCTTTAGCTTATTTAGGTACTGACGCATATCTGTAACTCTCACGTTACATCAGGCAACACAGTTCTTTTGCGCTTTGCATGAAGTTCCTGATTATTAAATTCAAGCCTACACTAAATGTACTGAAATATTCATATGCATACTTTAGGAGGGTCACAACGAATACCGTGTGTTAAGAAAAGGAATGACTTTGCATAACTTCTCCTTACCAGCAAATGAAATGACGCTTTCAATGCATTCATTGAAAGCGTCATTTCACCTAGCTTCACAATGTCCTACAATCCGCCCGATATTTTTCGTAGACTTCCAGGACGTGTTTTTACCGTCAAAGCATTTCCACGAGCTTACGGGACGCTTACACAAAGAAGAGGGCCAGCACAGCGCCACTTTCAATAGAACTTGTGACGGGTGCCACTATTGCAAATAAATTGGTCATTACCGTCGAGAGGGCCTAATTGAAGTGGAAACTCGACGAAATTCTTTTTGCTGTGAACAGCACATTAGGTGTGAGATGAGTCAGCTTGAGTCACTGCACTAAAGCTGTGTACAAACATTCAAGTTATAAACAATGATACCGTCACTGTAGTGTTTTGCTACGGTTGCTTCAAATTTGACCAATTCGCTGGTCACGCCAACAAAAGCAGGTTTTTATTCTGTCGACATTGTTCTCATTCCAAAGCTCACAAAGATACTGCTACGTTGTACTACGCAGCTTGCAATGGGTAATTCGACTATCCCTCGTATCTAGGTGGATGTCTCAAAAATGGGGGTATGCGTCTACTCTTCAACCTACTAGAGAGCTGTACAGAACCCTCACCTCATGTAGGACACAGCACTGTGTTCTTTATGCTTTTCCGCAGTTCGAGATGCAGCTGGGTCATCGATCGACATAGTATGCTAGACAACTAGATATAAGTAAGGTTTGGTCACCAAATTACAAGTTGTGAGCAACACAATAACTGAAGTGGGTATGTGCGATGCGTGCCGACTCAAAACAAAATATAAGCTTCATTTCTGCCAGTCACACGGCTTTGATATCTTGAAGTGCAATTTGGCATCCATTGTAATAGTTTACCCTGCGGAATGCGCTGTTGTATGCTAAATGTATTCTACCTGTCAGGTGCTAGGCGGTCACGGTCGTAGGCTACGTGTCCTCTGCGTTTCTCGAGTCCACGTTCTGGAACAGCTTGAATGTCCGGTGTGTAGAATATGCAAAGACAGACCGTATATTAACGAATAGATGGACTGTCGATGCGCAGGTGACAGTCCACACTGCCCCTAGGCTCTCATCTCTTTTTATAATCATGCAATATGTAGTGTGACCGACGTTGACATCAGGTAGTTGAGCTCAAAGGTCTTTGGCTTCGAGCTCGTAGTCGTAAGCTTCGATGAGCACAGGGATGTCGTTGGTGAGATCGTGCTCTCGCGTGTCCTCAATCAACTGTATGGCATACCATGAGATGAGCGACTCCCACTGCTGCGTGGTGCTGTTGTGACGATGCTCCTTGACCTACTTGCATCCCATGATAATGCCTTGTTTGCTTACATGTTCTAGATCCCTTCGATCACGTCATAGTACTTGTTCTTAAAAGAATTTGAGGCTTGATTTATTTACTTTTGTTTCTCCTCCATGGTCATATGACCCTTAAGATATATAATCGAGAACTTTAACCACTTGTAGGTCTGACCCAGCGCACAATTAGCTAATTTTGATGAAGACACTCGTCAGCACGAGAAAAAAACAGAATTGGAAGAAAAGTCACCTTTACGAAGAATTTGCCAGCGCTCCACGCTTGGCTATTATCTTAAACGTACACGTACGTTTCTTGCTATACTTGACTACCTCCGCCGGCCTTTCACGTAGAATATTGTGCTAAAGTTGAACTTGCCACTTTCGATTTGTGGAATGACAATGACATCGAGGGGCGTTGGTGTGGTGAGACCCGTAAACAGTTCAACAGGCGCCTTTTTGCCGAGGGAATGGGCAGGTGTCTGGTTCAAATTGAAATGAATAAGCGGTGGTAAGAGTTTTTAGCTCTTCGTGCTGGGTTGGTACTCTAGAAGCAACACTCTCATTATCGGGAGAATGTCCCGGTAGATGCGCTCGTCAGTCACGTTGACCCACGGACTAACAAACGTGTGGACTGTTTTGAGTCGTTCGCGCAAACTCTCCATGAGTTTGTTCTTAAAATGAGATCCGTTCTATGATACCCATAGAGGTGCGCTCCGAATTGCTATTCTTAATCCAGTATTGCTGCAGAAGGCAATGGTACGATAGGTGTGTCACAAGCAATGAGCTCGCAAAAATACGAAAGCTCGTCTTTTAGCACTAACACTTACCACAGGTGGTCGAGGTGCAGCGTTTCATAGAGCGTCGTAGCTCTGCTCATGAATGCTGGACCTCTCACGTGTTTGCACAACAAAAGCCCAACAAAAGTTCTTTACCAATTTTCGAAGCTTGTGGATGTCATACTTGCCTTGCAGCTGCACAGTCGTGGTGTCTGCGATACAAAGGGCATTTAAACTGCAGTGTTATATGATAAGAATGCGTGTGATGAGTTGTTCGCTTGAGTTGGGACTCAGTCTCTCTCTTTTGCCAGGAGTAATCCGTCTTCTAGCTCCGCCACTACCGCCGGAGCCGATCACGCAGGGTTTTGAGCATATAGACAGTAGTAAGTCACACAAATGTGTCGTCTTGTAGTAGCCGAAAGCAAGCACCCAGTATTGTGGACCGTGTGTGTGTAGACTTGACGGCGACGGGTGCTGGTGTTTCACTCTGACATTGTCTGTTCCCTTGATATGTTTAATCTGGTAGTACAGGTTGGTCAGCATCAGCGCATAACTCTGCAATTTTTCACGCACGTGCTTTCAAATTTCTAGGACGGGCACAATATCTGGAGCAGATTGGTGTGATCGCAATAGATCTTAAAACCGTTGGTACGGTGCTGCAGATATTCAAAATCGTTTGCAGACTTCACAATGGGTCATCCGTGATAGAGTAGTGTAGCTAAGGTCCTGTATACTCCCCCTTTGAAGTAAAATCTTTCGTAGTGTTAATTAACGAGGGGTGTGTCATTATCGCACTAATCGATTCGCGCTACGACAAGCGCCTGACGTGTTCGTTCGCAAACACACATCAGCATTATAACCCGGGAATATAAGTTTGATAATTGTGACTGACTGTTGAGAAACGCACGGTACGCTTGTTGCTCTTCGACGGTTCAGGTTCTTCTGCCAGACGCTGTTTACGACTACGGCCTGCGAACATTTCTCGCGCAGAAGTGTGGCATTTCTCGCGTAGTCTACGGTCATTTTTATGCCAATCAGCCGCATACAGTAACTTCAGAAGGTCAGCTACTGTCGCTGGAAGGGTAGCGCACGCCATCTCCATCAGTGTCGCGTCTACGCCCCACATGTTACGGGCAAACAAACAGCTCGTGATTGCGTACAGCTTCAAACTGTACTTGAGTATGCGTGCAAATAATTTTTGTAGCTTTGAGATAAATTCCTCTGGCGTCTTAGACAACACGATGATATTGTCTACCCACGCGAGCACATTGTCATACAACATTTCCTTCAAGACCTCCTGCATTTGGATTGGAAGTGCAGTGGTGCATCTGTAGCTCCTTGTGGCACTCGTAACGGCGTGTGTATCGCATCGTTGACGGGCTGAACATCTCACGAAAGCTTTGTGCAGTATGGGTTAGAGAAATGGCCAGTCCGCAAAAGCCTTCATCTTGCGGGATCTGTTCATAAAAGACATGGAATTCAATGAAGTAACTCATAGAGGGGATCTCGCCTGCGCCAAGGACACACTTGTCGATGTTGGCAAACAATTTTTATATCAGAAAACATAAGCTCGCAAGCGAATACTGCTGTTCTTTACAACATTCGTCCATATGGACTTGATTATCGTCACGATATGGCCAAAATCGCCGCGTTTGTCAGACGATTGAATTTCGTAGGTGCGTACGACAGTTTTATAGCATACCTTATCCACAGCATCCTATTAGGCGTACTACTGTAGTAATAGGAACATCGCTGTCTCTCACGAGCAGTTGGTAATAATCATGTAAGAGGTCGCTGTTCACAAACGGCCCCTCAGACACAGAACACACGCTTGTGCGACGAGAAAGCGATCCCGACGAAAAAGCGATCCCGACGTGGAGGGAGAAGAATATTTGCGACTTGGAGGGAAGAACGACTTAATTCCTTAGAGGTAATTTGCAACTATAGTAAAATGAGTTATGGCTCCTAGTTTCATGCAAAACACCCCAAGGGCTCCTAGAGGTTTTACTTTTAAAACCTTGGGTTTCTGACTTTTAAATCAAGGGTGTACTGAGGCTGAACCTCAGCTTCAACTTATAAAAGATCTTGAGTGTACGGAACTTGAACTTCGAAAGCTTGAACTTCAATTTTTGCGGGAAAGTGTCCAGTGCCACCCACTTCGAAAGACGGAGACACGTCGGTCTCGTCACCAGTACAGATCCCCAAGTATGAACCAGCATTCTGTCTTACAGAGAAAGTTTGTGACTTCATTTAAGAAATCACGTATGCATTTGGGAGCACCATACTGTAATTTTCTTTTATTAATTCCTACAATCCATAAAGTAGGTACATAGATATGCCCTCATGTAATGGCCAAGTGTAGCCCACTACATCATCCCCTCCGTAAAATCAAAAGTACTTTGATAGTTTTGCAGACCTTTTGGAGTAGCTCACTTTCCGATCAATAATAAAGCGATCAACAATAAAGCGATCAAGTGAACAAGCCAACATGAAAGAGCTTTCTTCGCCTGAACGGCAAAGAACGGTTCTAGAACTCTTTGACGTTCCCTCCATCCTCAACCGAAATGGAGACAAGAGGTTTTACATGGAGCAAATCTTTTGTTGGCGTCGGACCAACAACCGTGATGATTCGATTCGGCCCATCGCAGCTAAGCTTAAACCTTGGCGGACATTTGTTTACTTGAGAACGAGAACAAATGGAATGTCTGTTTTGCCGAGTCGGCGTTGGCAGGACTCCCAGTCGCGACCGAGCACAACCAAGCTTTGTTTGTCGTAGTGTTGCCTCTAGCAACACTACAAGCGATTTTTGTAGCTGCGGACCACGTCGGGGACATCAGACTATAAGGCCTGACGAGTTTCCCACGTGTCCGAGTCCGATGGATAACCGCGCCACCAAACTCTGTAGAAGCGGTGATGATTTAAATGCTTCTGTTCACGATGGCAAGTCGATCGATTCTCGTGATCGGTAATCGTCTCAACCACGCAACGACGCTCTTCACGAGAGTCTCATAGCGGAGATGGGGCTGAACGTGAAAAGATTGGGCGATTTTGGAAGTGGAGGAGTGCTCGTCGCGGGCAAATTGAGGCATTGCGGCAGCGTTGCACGACGCTTGAAGATTTCTGCGAGAGCGTTTCAAACCTTTGTTACAGAGCAGAGCTAGAAACTCTACGTTCTGACTTAAGGTTCTGCCCAATGTTTGGCTTTGAATTCCTGTTTTGACGTACGGTTTCAATATGTTCATGCGACTCTGGGAGGACGAGAAATCTGGTGAGATGGCCCAAAAGCATTTGTTGCACTCTGTTGAAGAGGTAGGCTCTGTTCACGAGGTACTCTGTGGTGAGTACCATTCTCGCCTTCAAGCGTTGGTATCAATAAAGAAGCAATCACTTGATGTCCTTTAATGCTCGTAAGCCGAGAAGAATCTCCAGGGTGAAGAGCTGGTTGCTCTTCATGAACAAATGAAGAAACGTCATGATCAGCTCGATCATTCACTAAGGGTAGAGAAGGATCGGCAGATCCACTTGGAAGATACGACTTTAGCCTACCCACATAAAATGTAGAATGTAGGCGCATGCATGTAAGGATGGCTAATGTATATGCATCACTATTGCATTCCATCACCGTGAATTGTTTTATGAACCTTGATAAAAGCTTCCTGCTTCCCAAGCTGCACACTGAATGTTTAGGCAGATTTGTCGTGGAAAGTAGTACAAGGTCATTGACCTTATATACCTTCTTGTTCTTTTCCTTCCGCTCTAATCTGCTTGTTCTTTTTGCAGATCCTGAGCTTTTGCAATCGCATTGCGAACAAACCAAAAAAAGGCTAATATCTTCGCAACAAAGTCATCGACGTGCTGTTTCTTTCGACTTGTCATGTCGTCTAGAGGTCTCATTGAGTCAGAAGTCGCTTTTGACTACCCCCTGACAGCATTTAGGTCTGACTGGGGCTCTACAGCCATAGTAATCGACGCGGCGTAACTATGCTGTACGTCTTCCAGGACTCGATTTATACGCTCTGTTTGACCTTCCGTTTCAGTATGTGCCGCTGTTGACATGGATAATTTGGCGCCAATAGTTCAAACGGTGCAAGCAAAAAATTTGACGTAACCACGGTCAGATACGATCTCAACAGGAAGGCCATGCAGACGGAAAACAACGTCTACAAAGACCTTAGCTGTCTTCTCGGCAGAGATCTTGCCCGAAACAGGGGCAAGGTGAACCATCTTGCTGAGTTGGTCCATTAACACAAGGATACCACTGCGTCCGTGTGTGTCAAGCGAAAGTCAGAATATGAAGTCCATACTCACAGATTTTCAGCTGTCAGTTGGCACTGCCAACCACCGAAGTATGACCTGAGTGGAGCCCGATGGTCTCACTCTCTGGTGTATCTCACACGATTTTCATATACTTGCGCACCCCTTATACATATGTGGCCAATAGTAATCCTGGGAAAGACTGAGAGACGTTTTCTCACATCCGAGAAGGCCACCCAAAGGGCTGTCATGGTAATGATATAAAGGACGAAAACGCAAACCTTCGTCATTTGGAACAACAACTCGTGCTGTATCCCCGTGTTCAACCGCATAGTACAAGAATCTGTTGTGTACTCCAAAATTGTGAACGCGCGATCTTGTGCGAGACGAAAGACCTTGCAGTGCATTCTTGGAATAAATACCTCAGCAAGTCCTGACATATCCCGTCAGACTTGTAACCTTCGACAATTTCTTCGTAGCTTGTACTCTGATTGTCGACATGACTCGTGCATGTTTTCGCTCCTGGACTTTAGATCATAGTCAGGACAATTTGACAACGCATCGGCTAAGATGATCGTGTTACCTGGTTTGTAGTGTACGACAAAGTTGTACTCCGCAAAGAAGGAACCCCATCAAGACATCCTTTGCGATAAATGAGGAGTATTTACTGCCATACGGCGTGATCTGTATAGATCATGAAGCGCGCTTCTCCAAGCAAGTACACACGGAGCTTAACCAAAGCATCATTCACTGCTAGAAGATCTTTGCCATAACTGGATAGTTCCGTTCCGCGGGCCGGAGTTGTACTTCGTACAACTCGCTCTTGACCCTCATCATCGTGTTGCCTCAGCGCACAACCGTATAATCGCTCGCATCGCATACCACATAAAAAGCTTTTCGTGATTTGCAACCGCAAAAACAGGAGCTTCTCTCAAGCTCTTCTTCACTTCGGCAAATACAGCCCGGTGTTCTTTTGACCATTCCCACTCAACGTCTTTTTCTAAAGACGTTGATAAGGGGTTGCAGCAACGCTGCATACTTGCGCGTGTAATTGTGCAAATAGTTGGACAAGCCCAACCAATGTCTCAGCTGTTTCACATTGTCTGGCACAGACCAATCATTGCTAGCTTTGACTTTCTCCAGATCTACACGAACGCTACTCTTGACCACAAAGCAGCCGAATACGGGGTTCTTCTTCTGTACGAGCAGTCTACATCGTTATTTAGCACTACATGCTGAGTGCCAAATGTGTCAGCGCTGTCATACAGCAATCCTTGATGCAAGGAGTAGCGGTGTAAACCTGCAACCAAACCTTTACAAAACCACACACAAAATAAAGAATGCCTTTCAATACTGCAACGCATGCTGCATCTGACTCGTATGCTGTACGTTTGCCTCATCGTTGTGCTATGTCACCATCGGGACACCCAGCAGTTTATAGTCTAGTCATGCATGAATGCTTCCGCGACTACATTAAGCCGATTTGTGTACTCGGGAGAGACAAACACCATCTTGCCAGTTTCTGTGAGGGATATGGGTAAGGCGTTGCTGTGCATAATAACACATAATCCGATTAAAATCACAAAATGATTGCGATATCCTTATTATGCGTGATGAAAGTAAATCAGAGCAGCTTACAAGGTACCTAAACATTACTTTTAAAACGTGGTAGCATGTGATACTACTGATATACAGAAAAGTTTGCTTATCACCAGTGACTTAAGTAGATCTGTTATGTAACGTAGGAAGCTGTTCAGCTCAACAAGCCGTTTGTTGCAGCATGCGTTGAATGCCCAGGTGCTCTCTGAGCTTGACAGCAACGTACGTTATGGTAAGTAGAAGCAGCAATAGTCATCGCAATGGCGCAATTACGGTCATTGGCAATTGTATGAGTCTGCGGTAGAGGTCGAGGCGATAAAAACGACATAAACGGCCAATATGACTTTGAAATGGTCAAATTTTAGGCAGTGACGAGGTTGTCCTTCGCAGCCTTGCAGGCCGCCTCTTCTGTTGCACAAGGTACTATTAAAGTAAATTGGTAAGATGTTGTTGTACAATATGGCATACTTAGCAGTGATATGTTGTAACTAGTTAGCCATGCCGAGTCTTTTTTCTCTAATCGCTTTGTAATAGCAGCAATACCAAACGGCTATGGTCTTGATAATCGCAGCGTACGCCCGCATATAGCTTTTATGATAGTGTATTCCAAAAAGATAACATCGTTGGCGCCAAGTAGGCTCGTCTTTTTTTGGCTAATGGCAATTTTAAACCTATACAATCTAGCATTATTTGCAAGTGCTCGTGATGGATGTCCAAATCCGATTATTTGCGCTCAGTACGACTTTGAAAGAATATATCGTTAGAACAAATTTAAGCGATGTCAACACGATGTGGGGTGTGCTATCAGATTAGTGACCATCGCTGGTGTGCCGGTAAAACTAATGGCATAACCATGGTAGAGTGAATATAATCTGGCTTTCGTGTTCGTGAGGGATAAATACCCTATCGACCAGGTAAAAAGAATTGAATAGGGTGCAACGGACCATGCCAATCTACATCACATCGTTTTCTGGAATCGGTGTTTGCACCAAAGTGCTGATTAACTTAGCTTATTAAAAGATGCGCATTTCACCACTTGTCGTCAGCATTTCTGACGCAGAAAGTTGGCATCAAGTCAGAGATTTGACAATCTCTCTCAGCATCTGCTTCGTGCTCCATAAAGAAAAAAGGTTTTATAACGATCAACTGCTCTTTTTGGAATGCCTAACGTAGATTTTTGCTTCAATTTTATGACAAACTCCCCAATTCGGGGTCAACACACGTGGCCATTTGCTTGCCACTCCTTCGTGATATTCCTAGAGCTAAGGGTCAAGTAGATTAGTTAAACACATCGGATCACTCCCCGCACTTGGTTCTATTTACGTGAGAGTCTGAACCTTCATTTCTCTCAGCTAGAGCGAAGGGGTACGCAGGGCGCGGGTGTTTTGGCCTCCTGCAAGTAAAAATCTGCGACTACTGCAGAGATTTGTTGCTGCGGAGATACCTCTCCCGTTCTTCTCCTGATGGCTTTAGATTTTTGGCTCTGGCCGCAGGAAAGTCAAAATCTAATTACCTATTTGTCCCTTGTGGCACACGAGCTGTGTTTCGCATGCAAAGTGATATCCACCGCTTCCTAAACAGATTTCTACAGTAAACTTGAAAGATGTCGGTGCAAACCACACTCATCTGTATGAAGACGGTAATCGTTGCCGTTTTTTAGACAGGATCTGACACCACTAAAGCAGAAGTCTTCAACTCCTGAACACAGTTCGCCGATATTTGCATCCCATGACGGTAGTCAAGCGCACCCGAGTTGTAACGGGGTTACACGTACCTTTGTATGAAAGGGTGGGTCACATGAGATTATGTACCCGTACAAAGGTGTGGATTACACAGGTCGGCGTAATGACACAATGGTGTCACTACACCGTAACAAGGAGCCACTGCGTGGCAGGACTGCCAGTAGTATTAATTAGGTTTTATTATATAATCAGGAAACTTGAGAATTAGATCTATGCGGCTTTGCCGCAAGTAAAACAATTAAAGACAGTTTTAATTTTGGATGGAAAAGCGTCTTTGCCTTGGGTTAGGTTTTAAAGTACTCTTGAAGGTAGCGGATTGCGATCCGCTCCCTCGTACTGGTTCTGGTAAAGAGCGTAAGGTCGGTAACCCTAGCTTAGCTTCCTGTAAGCAAAGAGCTACGACAGTTCCACTGCACGATACACCTGGTTGGCGGCGAATCTGTCTTACCAAATCGTCACGTTAACAATGTCCCTTTGACGATGGTATCACGCGGTAGTGCCGCTTGTTGAGCAACTCCCCAGCTTGGAATTTGCAAGCGCAACGAGCTGTCGCTTTGTTTAGAGCAAAACCGAATATATGGCCATATAAACCTTTCTCATCCAGAGGGAACGGTTTATTAGTGCTTGTAGGGCCGGAAAGCTCAAAATCAGCGGCCTCGCGGTGGATATTATCGTTCCTTCACCGTGGAAATCAAATTTGATGGTTAAATAACATATATATAGGTGCTGAAATAAACCCGTATATTTGCTGGGTGGCAAAATTTACTAATAAGGTGCTCTACTCGTCATCATTATTTAGAAATCGCTGCAATGTGGCCCTTATTTGTGAGATCATTTATAAATATTTATAGGCAAGTTTATATGGTAGACATAACTGTATTATATATAGGTCATAATGTAATGCTATCCTTCCATTGGGAAAGCAGATGCCCTACAAGTAGACTAACCGTACACCACTCGATCGCATTGACTGGGTGTTCCGCCATGTTAATTGATAAACGCTCTCGACATTTTGTCGCAGCTCCTCCATGCGTCGCATGAGTTCTCGTTGATGCCACAATGGGCTGGTCAGCATCGAAGGGCTGGGTTTGACCGGCATTGAGCGTGCAAGTGGACACACATTTTCTGATTCGATCAACGTGGAGTTTGCGTTAGGCGATTCAGTCTTTCTCCAACCAATTACGCTTTCAAAAAAGTCCAAATATCCGCAGCTTGTGCTACTCATCGTCGATCTGGGGATCGAATCTGCCTCGACCAGATCTTTAGCGTCCAATCTCTCTATCGCCGCGGGTGAGTGGGAGCTCACTGATCGTCGACGAACTTGATCGGACGAATCATAGGTGTTGAGATGGTTTCTTTGAGACAACAGATCCTCAGATGAAGATGGAGAAAAGATGGTTAGATGTCGGCATAGCTCCGTAGAAACTAATGTGTTGAAACCGTCTGAATTATTCTCCATCAGCGACGATCTGACAACTAGCTCAATGCGAGCAACATTCACAGCACTGTAATTTGAGGCATGAGCTACACATGCTTTACAGAAAGTAGTGTTTTGCTGCTTGAGATCTTTCAGACGGGCGACGCGATAGCTCAGTCGTCGAGTGACGCGACACCGGGAGCAAACTGCTTCTGAGCAGAGTTCACAATAAGCGACATTGCGGAACAGGTGAAAGGTTGTAGCGCACACGGTGCAGGTTGACGCCGATCTGCTAGTCATCGACAACGTGACCAAGTTGTTGCTTCGGCGGTTGTCAACACTAAGTGTATCGCCTCTTTTGAGCTGCTCTTGCTCCAGAAAATACTCAAGCTTCTTATTGTGCGAACACTCAACGGCATGACAAAATTTTAAAAGGGCGCTGGCTGTCGAGACGATCGCAGTAGCTTGACGCATAAAGCCATTTGGATCCACAATTCCTTTCATATATACGTCGACCGTGTTGTGAGGTAGCTGGCGGAATAGATGACAAGACATGACGCGTCCACGCAGTACTTGGTAACAGTCTGCTAGCTCGTCGAGACCTGGCAGATCGACAGAGTGCATGATGTGGTAACCTACACGATCTCCGTTCGTACGAGTGACAATTCCTGAAGCCTCCACAAATACGAAATCGCGCTGGGAGGAAAGTTTTGTCACCTGCCACTTAACGCCACAGAATTGGAATGGTTTGCTTGGTGTCGGAGCTCGAATGCTGTGAAGTAGCGCAGTATCTAAAAGCTCCTCCTTCGTATACGACGCCCGGATAAAGGTGGACGTTGCATCCGTAGCGAGCAGTCCGTACATGACGTCATTCAGCGTGCCGGCGATCGTTCCGACGGTTATCAGCGTTGGTGAAGGCCGGTCAGACCCGTTGTTGCGGTAACGAGCTGGAGAAAGAAATGATGTCAACGGTTGTGATGACATTGAGGACCTGGAGGTTATGCGCTCCGAATAATGACGTGTTGCTCCTCGTGCTGAGGCTGTCGACCGTTGTCGATAGCAAGTAAGATTCTCGACTTTTTTGACGACCTTATACTGTGACCGCGGCAACACTTGCAGCTGATTTTGTTCGTAGTCACCAAGGGCTTTTGATAATGTTTGTTGGACGGTCAGCTCAATCTGTTGCATTTGCGCTTCAGACAGCGCCGGGTAGTTCCCGAAAGGCATATGAGGTAACGGAAACTTCATGCCGTTCAGAATGCGTGATTCTGAGCGTGGGTACTTTAGCACTGGCGTGAAAGTTAAGTAATGAAGCGAGTGCCTTGTATCAAGGCTGCGGTGGCGGACATTAGTTCCGTCACTAATGCAAGCTGTTCAAATCTTTGATTAGCAAACTTATTTTGGTAAGACTACTGGTTAAGTCTTCACGATCCGGCAGAGTATTGCCATGTGGAGTAAATTCAATGTTGCAAGCAAAATATTAACGGATCAAAATTGCTGTACGGCCACACGTTTTAGATCCGTCTGTCATTAGCTCCAACGGCTCGCAAAAATTAAGTGCGATACCACATCTCAATGCTGGAGCACAAACTGTCTGTAGGGCACAAATGACGAAGCAGCAACATCGAAAAAAATTGCGGTATGCTTTAAATATCAGGAGTCGCCACTGAAACTGGGCCTCTTATCAACTTATCTATCGTGTCTGCAACATAAGTCACAAATTGTTAGGGTCTTGTCAATGAACCCAGCTTGTTACTAAGGCAAGGTATGTAAGTCAAAAGGATGGACGATCAAACGAGAAGCTTATAAGTATAATACAGCAAAGCCAACATTTGGATTTTACTAAGTTCCACGATAAATATCACAGCTCATAATGACTCGGCTACTTTTTTATGCCGACAGTCATAGCACGCGTCGAGCGCAGACCCACCACATTGAAGGCGAACGGCTGATAGAAGTTTCGCGAACTTTTGTCGTTCTTGCTATCAGTGGACGTCCTAGACAGACGGCCACTATCGCGTTCTTTAAAGGCCGCCTCCGTATTTGCTCGAGCGACCTGATACGTTGACTCCACCACATTGTGCAGGTCCTGCATCTGCTGAAAAAGCTGATGCTGGTAATTTGCTTCACTACCAGCAGACGGAACTGACATGCGCGCGCGATGCAGTCGCGGCTCAAGGTCTTCGCTCTCAAGTTTAGACTTTGTCTTTCCTATCTCGTATTGAGACAGCATGATGGCATGAACCTCAGCAACAGGAGCAGCTTCGACTACTTCAACGTCATCAGTCACATCTTCTTGATGTTGGCTGTTGTCTCCATTCACTTCTGCAATAATCACAGGCTTTTCCTCGTCCTGTTCGTCGGTTGCCTTTACGTTACTGTCCACTTCTAAATCAAGTATATGGCTTTTATGATCTGCTTCTAAGTTTTCAACACTTCCTTTCGTATCGTTCTCGTCCTCAAATATCAACGCCTTTTCCGCTTCATTCTGCTCAAATTCAGCATCTTGATCATTTTTCTCAAATTCTTTTGCTTCATTATTCGGCTCAGGTTCGGCCTCTTCTTCACCTTCCTCGTCTTCTTCGACAATAGGTTCTTCGCGCTGAGACCCGGGAGCATTGCTGGTAGGAGTGGTACACATTCCGATATCATCGTCCAGTACCGCCACCGACGACGCGTAACTCGATCGAAATTCGCTGTCATCATCGCTCTCAAACTCACTATAACCTTCCGATTCCAAGTCAAGATCATCCCCAACGTCCTGCTCGTCCACTGACAAGACGTAGTCTAGATGGCGCAAATTACGAATCGTTGTAGTTAAACGACGATCGAGCACGACTGGTTCCTCTGATTCAGATTTATCCTCCTCAGCAGCAACTTTAGTCTCGTTCTTTATTCTGCTTTTGTCCATGTGCAAGTCAGTCAGTGTTAACGTCTCATTTATTCGTGCACCACTCATTAGAGAACTTGTGTTAACGCTGGTAGCATGAAGTGATGATGATTTTGACAATAAGCTCCCTGTGTTGAGGCACTTCAATGGAGTCGACAATTGGGTTGATATCATTTGGTATGAAGGACCTACAGAGTATCCCATGGAGGACTCCCCCAATTGAATGCTAGGAACCTGGCTTACGCGGCTAGGAGTAGAGCTAACGACAAGACTGTTCGTGGTAGCGATGCCTCGAGGAGCTGAATCGCTGACACGACCAAGAATTACAGTTGCGTATGTGTTCCTTTCCGTTGAGGAATTAATTCTGTAATTTGTTCGAACGATCGCTGACGATGCACGTGTACGACTTCGTGCACGGATCCAGAGTTCTTGCCGAGCAATCTCAAGTGCGCTCTCGTCACTTACACTGGCAACACACTTTTTGCAAAAGTTGATAGACGACTGCGTGACCTGCGCGTTTAAAGTGTCACAGCTGAGCTTACGCACAATGCGACAACGATTGCAGATCTGCTCGCTGCATAGTTGACAAGTCATAATCTTGGACAACAATCCCAATTTATCACGACACACCCCACACTGACGGCGATTCCCTGAACCGTAGTCGCTGCGCTGTGACACGGGCTCCGGAGTGCTTGAGTCGCGTGCCCCTAACTCATTCACAGGCGTCAGCGTTGACAATCCACCACGCGATGATCTGGTAACGCTGGGGTGGCTACCTCGAGTGGATCTGATGACGCCCATTGTCGACGGACGATCGTTCTGTAAACAATATGCAAGTTTTTTGTCGTGAGCGCAAGAAATTGATTTCCAGCATTTACTAAGGGCTGTAGCAGCTGATCGTATAGCCATGCGGGTAAAGACATAGCCACTTGGATCTACAGAAGCTGTCATGAAGACTTGTACACAATTGTTGCGAGTTTCCTCGAAAATATAGCAGCTTGATAACTTCGCGCGCAAAATGCGATGCTCATGCAATTGACGGCACGATGAGATATCTACTGAGTGCATGAGATGAAACCCTACGCGCGAATTATCCGGACGCATCATCACGCCCGAAAATTCAAGGACAACAAAGTCACGGGGCAGAAGGATGCGTGATGTACCACGGTGCTTAGCACGCACAAACCATTTAATACCCATAAATCGAAATGGTTCTGAAGGTGACGGACCCTTAATTTCACGTAAAACAGCGCAGTCGGCAATATGTTCACCAAGGTACGAGCTGCGCAGCCGAACCGACGGGGGATCAGGCGACACGACACCGTACATGACATCATCCAGGGATCCACGCAAAGTGCCAACTGCGAGTAGCCGTGGCAGTCCCGAGCTTTTGCTATTATCGTCACGAGAATAGGCCGCAGTTGTAATTCGGGGCTCTGAAAGGAAATCACCACTACTGTTGCTATCGTAGCCAGCTGTGTGACGACTGTCCTCAATAGGGTCCAAATCGCTACCTTTCTTTGGAGATGATGGAATAAAACTGCGTGCGCTGCTCACCAAAATTGTATCGGACGTCAAAGGGACTGAGCAACTTGTATTCTGGCTGGGACGGCTACTGTTCGTAAGTAAAGTGCTACGGTACAAGGCGAGGGTGGCCTGGGCTAATTCCTTGGGTTGAGCGTCTACGACACGTTCCCGAAAAATAGTAATACCATCCCGTGCGCGCACGGTCTTCCAACGCCGTACGTCAACACGCTTATGATCTTGCGAGACAAATTGATCATATTCCGAAAGTGTAGACTTGATGAGCTCATTAGCGAGCTGCTCGTAATTTTGTTCCTGAATATCAGTAAGCTCCAGTGGTGGAAATATATTCTTTGGTAACGGAAACTTCATGATTATACGTCCGTCTGCAGAAGTAGCCAAACTGAAGATATACGACACACCTTGTCAAGTTTACGACCAGCGAGTTGGTAAACCGAGGGTGCAATGCGTCGTGGTGCAGTACGTCGATGACGTACAAGAAGCGAATGAAGTGGACACTCCCTGCCTCTTGCTTTTGACGAATGACACGACGGCGGAAGACACATGGTTACTGGCGTTATAGAGACCATATTTCTGTTCACAATCTCGGCACATCTTTGAGCACTGTTACTGCCTAACAACGTGCGACACGTCGTCATTCATCGTTTAATTGCCTATCATGCTTGACGCCAAAAATCATAGCATTTTCAATCTTTTCAAGCCGGACAAGTAGCATGTACTGCCAATAGCTCAAGCTCTTGTCCTATAACGACTGTAATCACTTATTTAACTTATTGAGAAAATCGCACGATCGCTTGCTAACTTCGTCGCTTGTGTTGCTGATGATGGCAAATGTATGACATGAACAATGTACGTGAATACTATGCTATCGTGTGAGCCCTCAACATGTAAGAAAGGCTCGATTTAGTTTCATTGCCCACAACTTCTCATGTCCAGGTTCTCAGCAAGCCTTACTTTTACCGAGTCTGTAAAGCATAGGCAGAGAAAAAGTCAAAAATACAGAATCGTGGGGTTGTGTTGCGATATAGGCCTGCGTATGAACAGTATGGTGTGGCTACATCAACCATATTAAAAAAATCTGATTCATGAAATAACTGAGTAAGGTAAGATTAATCTGCATACAGTCTGCTTACAACCCAAAAACGCTATTGGTGTACGAAAACTGTTCGTCTTCTTAGACCGAGGTTTATAGAATATTAACAAAAGATGGCGCTTTGTGGTATAAAGTATTTAGCTGTTGAACTATGAAGTGAGATATAAGTAAAGTGGATGCAAATGTGGTTTCCGAAGCCATGACCAGGTCAAGCACTTGTACAACTTGAGTCTTTAATTCAAGTAAGGGTCACGAGGTTACCTCCGCCAACTGGTTGTGCAGCCAGGGAGTGGTCACTTGTGGAAGGATGGTCCGGTATCTCAGCAAATACGACCTTGTGGGTCTATGGGTTAGGTGACTTTTCACATCACCTCCTCCACAAAATGAATGCCAAAATCTCTAGCGACTTCAATCCCGCCTGCATCATCTCTATCGCATTTGTCATGACCATAGCGATGTTGTACCCACTCTGGCGCGAATGCGTAGACCGTTAGATGCTGGCACGCGACAAGAGCTTCACGGAAGAAAATAAACGTTTATTATCTCCATATTCCTCGTCATAGGCAGTATTATCTTTACATCACTGGTCGGTAGGGTGGTGTTCACGGTGTGTAACGGGGTTTCACATAACCATGTATGAAAGGGTGGGTCACCCGAGATGATGTGAGCGTACAAAGGTATGAATTACACAGGTCGGTGTAATCACATAATGGTGTGGCTACAACGTAACAAGAAGTCATTATGTGGCGGGACTGCTAAAAGGAAAGCATACTAAATAGGTTTACTATTTAATTTGAAATACCTCGGTGTTAGATAAAGGCGGCTCTGCTGCAAACGTAACAGAATAGTGTATTTGCCTTGTTTAAGTTTTTGGGTAACTCTTGGCGATCCGTTACACTCGTACTGGCTTTAGTATAGAATGTAAGGTCGGTGACCCTACATTAGCATAAAAGAGCTAATGCAGCCCCGCCGCACTTGGTAGCACTTGTTGTCAGCCTACGACAGATTCGTTACGACTGATCCTTTGAAAGGATGAACAATTCTCCTATTTGCCCCAGAGCATGCAGAACGGGCTATGAAAGCTGATGTCTCTGCTTGGCCCTGAGGGCTGCAACACCTTGCTTCGCAGGACCCGAAGCGATAAGCTTGCGCCTAGAGGTGTTTTGAACCATGAAGATGCTCTGTTAAGAGCACCTAGAGAGATGATGTCAGCGTCGACTGCTTTTATGACGCCATCGTTGTCGGAAGACTCCTCCCGACCCAGGCCGCTGATGGTGTGTGCTAAAACCTTCGAGGTTAAGGACGGAGATAATTTTCTGCTCTGGGTAAGAGAGACTGAGATAACTTTGGTATCCGCCATGCTCCAGAACGAACAATAGCACGTAGTGCTAGCTATCTCCAAGCTCGGGGCCGAGCGCGAGATTGGCATTAGCGTGCGGTACTCTAGCTGTAGCGACATTCTTCCCCTGTAATAAGCTGATTCTGGAGCTTTTGCGAGAGTTCTCGCCGCCTAACTCCCAGCCAGGCATATCGCGTGCGATCACGTTTCCTTGTGGCCCGACAGGGCAAGAAGTTGTTGGTGAACTTTGTCCAAGAGTTTATAACTCTCATTACCGGGATGGCGGTGGTCGTATTTATGGAGGGCCTCCGCACTGGCTTGGCCAGAATGGAAGTACTCCGTGTTCATCCGTCCTCTTTTAAAGAAGCGGTGAATGTAGCATTCCATTTTGGCTTCAACTTTAAGTCGGCATGGCGTGGTTGGAATGCACACCCGCGGAGCTCATCGAGCGGGTTGGAGCCGATGGCCCTCAGCAATGCTGAGAATGAGGAGGCACTAGACGAGCTGCCGGGCAGCGTACGTGTAGTGACACGTAACCCACTGAGCACTGCTCACGTCTCCAAGCAGTCGCTACATGCCACGAGACGTGGTCGAATGAGGTCCGAGGCACCAAGGGCGAGACCTTTGTCATGCACGTGGAGTGGCACGTAACCTAATGAGCACTATCAAGTTACGAAGCAGTCAAGAATGGCATGGTCGAACGAGGTCGAGGTATTAAGAGTGAGGCCTTTTTGATGCGCGTGGAGCGGCACGTAGTCCACTGAGCGCTGCTCACGTCTCAAATCAGTCGCTGCATGCCACGAGTGGCATAGTCGGATGGGTCTGAGGCATCGAGGGCGAGACCTTTGTCATGCACGTGGAGTGACACGTAACCCATTGAGC